GGCTGGTCGCCCTGAAGGAGGACCCCCAGACCGTGCCGGACCTCCTCAGCAGCGACGGCTCGCCTCCAATGTCTCCGATCGATATGGAGACGCAGGAGAGGATCAAGGCGGAGCGCAAGAGGCTGAGAAACCGACTAGCAGCCACCAAATGCCGCAGGCGCAAGCTGGAGCGCATCGCCCGGCTGGAGGAGAAGGTGAAAGTTTTGAAGAACGACAACGCGGGGCTGTCCAACACCGCGTCGGTGCTGAGGGACCAGGTCGCCCAGCTCAAACAGAAGGTCCTGACACACGTGAGCAGCGGCTGTCAGCTGATGCTTACAAGCAAGATGGAGGCATTTTAAACACCAGAGACTACTAAGTGACTGAAAAGTAATAACACTGGAGGCATGCTCTGCATGCACAGCACTGGAATACAGCTGATGTGTTGCACAGGGCCGAGGCTATGTGTAGTCAACTGTGTAGGCTGTTTAGGGTGAAAAGACTGAAAAATGGTACTTCCGGATGCTGGACACCGCTTAGAGGACCATTGATCCCTAGAGACCAGGGAAGCATCCAGACTGACACTTCAGCGGGCACGGGCCCACATGTGGGTTTACTAATGGGAGAGATTATTGTACTTCTTTGTACTTTGTGCAGTTGTCAAGCAGCGCTGCATTTATTCATTGTGTAAATTATTGTTTGCCCGGTTGATCCAGACAAACTAATGATGTCCGATGTTTACAATGTTGTTGTTTTTTTTAAATCTGTGATGTGTATTTAAGTAAAGTGTCTTAAAATGAAACTGAAATGGTGACCCTGAGTGTTTCCTTTATATCATGAGTGAAAACAAATAAGCGCTGGGGGGGTGGGGGGTGGAAGTGGTGTCATTTTATAACCACAACACTTACTGTAGCTCCCAGTGAGGAAGCCCAACATAAACACATTCTGGGTACAGTGCCTTTACGCACAGCGCACAGCCCGCGTACGTAGGCTTTCTTTTTTTCCTAAATACGCACGAGCTTGTCCATATATGGACATGTTGGTGACTATTTCGTCACAGGGGAGGATTTCTGGGAATCCCCGCCCAGGTGATACAAACTAGTTTAGTCTGACTCCCTCCTTGTATTTTATCGACAAAGGCTGCGAGCTTCACGAGGGTGGTGGAATTTCCTTTATTATTAAGCAACTTTGAACAAATCTGCGACACACGAATGGAGAAAAGTGCAACCTGTTATCAGGTCCATGGTAAAAGTTGGTCGGGCTTGTTACATGACAACGGGAATCGGTTAATAATCTAAACAATGTGGGGTTAGTCATCGCGTAAAACACCTCTCCTTCATGACTTGTTTGTATAAGGCTCTTTGGAGAAATGATTCCTATAAAACCACAGCCACATTCCTCATCGTGTCCAAGTCATTAAAGCATATTTGAGGTGTCAGTATAACTGAAAGATCGCACTCCAGGGGAAGTGACAGCGGCTTCAGGAATGTCGGGGGCGTCCCGAGATGCCACGCCGCTTGGCAGAGCAGTAGGCGAGAGTGGGCGTCCGGTGCGCGCAGGAGCATCTGTGTGGATTGACGGAGACATGCGCGCTGCCAAACACAACATTCTGGGACGCATCACTGGCCAAGTATGCGCGACACCAGGGGCCTGAAGTTTGGATACAGCAGGGAAAGTCCCGCTTTAAGTAGATGTGAAATGAGTCATTAAGTACTGGCCCTGTTAACCAACGGTCACCAAACGGCTTCATAGATGCACCAAACAGTAATGTAAGACAGGAGGGGGGAGGGGGGCGACGCTAGGGAGAGCAAATACTCGCCATACTGACAGATGACCACTTTGAGCTTCATCTAGAAAATCTATGTGTGTTCAAGCCAGTCCATGCTTGGACGTTGGCCGAGAGAGAAGTTGTGCGCAAGCTGGTCTCAGGAAAGCCGAAGGGGGATTTCAGACAGCAGTGTGTGACGTACACGTAAACATGACCGCCAGTCTGGACTGAAACGAGCCTCTCTCGGTGAACGCGCTTCAAACGAGTGAGGAGGGAAGTTTGCGGTCTGTGCGCACTCTCACCTCAGGTTGTTTTGGAGAGGAAGCTTTTAACCTCTTTTCATCTGACACCTATTTAAATAGTCGAATTTCCATCAAAAACAACTCCCTTATTTTGTTGCCATGATTGTGGAAACAGAACCGTGCACGCCCACGCGAGCTCTTCTATTCTGTGACTTTTTTCTCAAGAAACCTACATTTCAGGGGATGTACGTTTTTTGAGTTCACTGCCTGTTTTTGCTTTAATGAGCAGTTTCATATAATCCTACATGTTTGTCATGACAATCCGAAGGGCACCACACAGTGTCACGCACCCACAGCACCGTGCTGTGGCCCCGAGGAGGCAAAAGGCTTCATTTATTACTAAATATTCAACAACATCAAGCTCTTCTGCATTCACACTGACACAAAGCTGTTTTAAGTTAAAGAGACTCCAAAATATCACTGCACTGATCAAGTCTCCATTTACACACACACCGCAGATCTGCATATTGGAATGTGTGCACACACTCCAAAAAGAAGCCAAGTGAAGCCATGCTGCTCTCCACACGCCTCGGCCCACAGCCCACACTGAGTGTCTGTGGGAACATCTGTGATGTGAACGGTGACGTCAGAACAGCTCTGGGTGGGTTTATTTTCCTCTCCACAAGCCCCCTTCCCCTCCCACAGGCCTGGCTCGCACTCATTCTCTCCCCCTCTCTGATGTTCTGTTGTCTTCTCGAGAGCATGAATATTCCTCCCACCTTGGCCATCTGAGGTTCCCACAGACGTTGGATCACAACTAGTTTGAGAATAGAGACATGTTCTGTCAGGAGACCTAGCTTAAGGGAGGTCTGCTGCTGCCATCAAACACTATTTGAAACATATACAGTAAATGTAAAATCATCCACATTTTAATAGTCTATATTAAAGCCATGTAATGTTTACATTCAGGGGTCAGTTTATTAGGAACCCCTGTGTCAGACTGACCCAACAGCGAAGACTCCTTCATGAAGGTGAGGACGATCAGTTTGTGCTGCTGTTCAGCTGGACTGGGTTACACTGAGAGATGGTTCTGGTGTTGTGTCCACCCCATTTATAAGAAATACCAGAAACATCTCCCTATTTTCACTTTGAACAAATCAAATGTTAAGAGCCTGTGATCTATTTTAATGATTCTTATGATGATGACAAATTTCAGCTGTCCTATTCATTTCATAGTTTCATGATCTTTCATCAGCTGTCCCATCACAGTGCTGCCAGTAACAGTAACACATCAGGGCCGCTGCAGCAACTTAAGGCAAAGCTGTGACATAATTAACATTAACAACAGGAACTAGCAGGGAAACATCATCTCTGCTGGTGTATGAACTTCACAGAGCAGAGGTCCAGAGAGCAGGCCAACCGAGTTATCCCAGTGAAGGATTGTATAGGCACATGTCTCCATCTAGTGGAATCACTTCAACACAGCAGCTAAAAACACAAAGCCCAAACACCAAAGCTCAAAGTGTTTATTCATCATATGCACAGTTAAGAAACGTGTTTCTCTGTACAATGAAAGTCTTACTTTGCCGTCCACATGAATGCCACAAAATACAAGTGAAATATAAAGTAGATGAGCAATAACAAATCTAAACAGGCAATAACACAAATCTAAGGCACTTTGTAGCAGCAAGTGAAGGGAGCAAATAAAAATACAACACAATATAATGCAGAGAGAATATATGCTACGTGGGAGCTGTGGAGTGTAAATACTCAGCAGTGATTGTGCAATTGTGCATGTGAAAAATAAGCATGTAAACAGTACAGATGGAATTACACGAGGTAGATCCTGAGTCAGCTGTTTAGGAGTCTGATGGCTGAGAGAAAGAAAGACTTTTTCAGTCTGGAGGTCCTGCATTTCACACTCCTGAGCCTCCGACCGGAGGGTAGGGGTATGAACAGTCTGTGCTGGGGGTGGGTGGGGTCCTTGAGGATGGAGGCAGCGTTCCTACGCACCCTGTGGTGGTAAATGTTCTGCAGAGAGGGCAGTGGAGTCCTGGTGAACTTTATCAGTGCCAAGTATCAAACTTAATCATGACTGACACTAGCACCTACTGATACACCGACCAGCCATAACATTATGACCACCTGCCTAACACTGTTTACACAGGAGTCCATGTGTCAGTTGGTCGTGTCTCTCTGCAGCTCACTGTGCATCGTCTGTGAATCCATCTGCTTCCTCTACTGTCAGGAAGAGCACAGATGTGTCTACAGTTCAGTGAAAAACGTATGTAAAAGGAGTGAAAACTGGTGGTGAGGACGAGTTAGAGAGAATTATCTAGACCAGTCCAACAGCCTCACCGCTCTAGGTGTGATATCACCACTACAGCCCCCGACTCTTTCTCTTCATAGAGACCAATGGACAGTGTTTCTCATTTTCAACCATTTTAACAAAGATTCAAATTCATTTTAATCATCTGTGAATTACAAATGGAAGTTAAAAGTTTAATCTACAGTAGGTCAACCTCATCATCAGTGAGCCATGGGCGTCCATGACCCTGTCTCCAGGTCACCGTTTGTCCTTCCTTAGACACTGTTGGGAGGTACTAACCACTACAGACCAACAACACCCACCAAGACCTGCAGACTGGGAGATGCTCTGACCCAGTCATCTCACCATCACGGGTTGGCCCTTGTCAAAGTCACTCTCATCCTTATGCATGGCTGTTCTTCCTGCTTCCAACATGTCAACTTCAAGGACTGAATGTTCACTTGCTGCCTAATATACCCCCCCCTTCATCATAACACAAACACACACTCAGGCCTGTCTTACCTTATCCCAGGTGATTTTTACGTACGTTATTAAATGTGAGGCGGATCATTTTCCATGCCACACCTGACGTTTCCTGTCGTCGTGGAATGAGCCTTAACCAACATTAAAACGTGTGTCTAGTGTTAAAGCTCACTGCGTCAGAAAAGTAGGTCAGCGCGCTCTAACCTTAGCAGTGACAACCCGTTAGCTCGCAGTCCGTTTCCGGTTTAAACTCCGAGCAGGACACAAACACACTGCTTTTCAAGTTCCAGTCATGTTCATCTCTGAAACTCACCAAATGTCGACGCACTGAAAAGTTTCTGGCCTCTAGTAAAATCTCCCGTCACTTCTGAAACCGTTAAAGCTGAAGCGTTAGCTGCTAATGCTAACAAATCATTTCCTGTTCTCCTTCACATTAAAAGCATATTTCTAATTAAAATCGCGTTTCACAACCCTGAATGGCTGTTATTGTAAAGCAATTTAAAATATGTTTAAATATGTTTTAAAGCGGTAGTACAGTACAATTATACACTTAAAACTTTAATTATTTATTTAATAGCGCTGTTGCCTCACAGCGAGAAAGTTCCGGGTTCGAGCCCCGGCCGACCCGGGGCCTGTCTGTGCGGAGACATGCAGCATAGGTTGATTGGTGTTTCTAAATTGCCCGTAGGAGTAATTGTGTGTGAGAGTGCTTGTTGGCCCTGCGACGGACTGGCGACCTGTCCAGGGTGTACCCCGGCTCTCTGGCTGTCCTTGGCTCCAGCCCCCCGTGACCCCGTTAGGGAAAATGGATGGATGGATCTAATTAGGCCACAGTATTGAGGTTCCCTGTGGTGTAGATTATAGGGTGTGATTAGAATCACACAGTACTACACAGTTGCAGTGACGCTGTTCTCTCTGCTGTTTGTTGTCTGTGTTGTTCGTTGTCTCTGTTGTTTAACAGAAAAATGCCAGGTGGAGTGTGGCCGTGGCAACATGAACCATTTCACCTGCAGAGGGCGCACTCTCCCTCTACATCTCCAAACATGATTTGTCTATGTGTTAGTCATGTTTAATGAGATTACTTTAAAGCTAGATGTGTCACATTGTGATAATAATCTGTTTAATGTTGATTAATTTACTCAGTGTGGGCTGTTGGCCTGA